GGGTTCAGGGCCCGGGTGTACATTTCCACATCGGGTGGAGGTCCGCCTTTTTTTCGCGGGTTGGAAAACGTGTTGGGCAATGACGGCGTTGGAGGTCAAAAAGCCCCCGGCAGGGGGGAAAAAAGGAAAATTTCGAGTTTCGGGAAAACGGTGAGGAAAAGAGGAGGGCCCCGTGGCGCAAATGGGGTCGAGGGGGGGCATCTGTGCGCAGTGTCGTCGGGGGGGCTCCATGGCACCCTTCTGGCAAATTTAAGAGGGATTGATGGGAAAAGGGAGCCCCGGTGGGATCGCCGCCACGAGAAAAGAAAAAGTGCCCCCAGACCCTGGAGAGGGAGGTCCGGTCGAGTCGTGAAATCATGGTCCCTCGTCTCAGGGTCGTTGGCTGACTGACCTGCCGATTGACTTTACGGTGGGGGGGTGGGGGGGGGGGGTTGCTCCGAAGATTTGCCACTGATGCAACCCTGCGGCCAGGGCCCCTCCCTTCGGCACCTACTTACCGCTACTTAGCAAGCTTAGGTACCTTGGTACCCTGTAGGCACCGAGGTAGGCACCGAGGTAGGCTCCTAGGTAGGCATCTGGCTGTACAAGCTTGGTTGGTGGCCGTTGACTCACGGCGTCTGCCTCTCTCTATCCTGCTCTATCCGGCTATTGAAATGAAACTGGTATTATTCTTTTTCTTTATACTCTACTATCAGATTTCGCATGATCATGGGCTTTCAAAGAATAAAAGACATGAGCTTTTTACACATGGACACACACCAAAAAAAAAAAAAAGAGATGGCCTCTCCTGTCTAGGTACTGTCTACTCTCACGCCAGCTGGGATAACGTAGGGGCGATCTTTCTGACTGGCATCTACATACCTAAGGCCTTGCTAGGTTATGGATGCTGTACCGTTTGGTCAGCCTTTTTCCGTTGAGTCTGCTTTTCTTTGGGCATGTCATCATGGCAGGAAACCGCGGCCTGCACATACCTGATATCCTCGGAGTGCTCTGGTGGTATCGGCGTGTTGACAGGGCCGCTGCTCGCGACGACGAAAGCGCCGCCCTCGACGCCGTCGTTCGTCATGGCCGTGCTCTTCCTCTTCTTGGACTTGCTCTCGTACCAGCGGGCCGAGCGCTCGAGGTAGTCGTCGGGCAGCGGGCTCTTGTAGTGGCCGCAGAAGACGCCGACCTCAAAGTCGCGCACCTGGCTCTTCTCGTCGGCAGCTTCGAGGCACGCCGCCTTGAGGTCCTCGAGCGTCTGGAACACCAGCGTGTCGCACTGGATGAGTTCCGTCATCTCCTCCAGCGTCCTTTCGTGGGCGAGGAGCTCTGCAGGCGGCTGTGTCAGCTGCGTCCGTCGTGTCATGGAACCACGCATCACTTACGGCTCGGGTCGGCAAGGTCAATACCGTGCTACACGGTCTTGGTCAGTCGGGTCTTCATCAGACAAGCGAAGCCAAAAAAAAAAAAAAAACCCCGGCGCCAGGTCCCTTCTCCAGAAGGACAAGAGAAGACTCACAACATGGGGGTGGGTGATCTCCGGGCTGCAAGAAACGAGAATAATCTTCTTCGCCTCGCACTCCTTGACCATTTGGACCTGTCACACAAGCCATAGTCAGCAAGCCACGCACTCCAACGCTCGCATGCTGCCTATCCTGCGCCATTGCTGGTGCAGTGCGGAAGCCGCACCGGAGTCGGACACCTACAATCTCGCGCGAGGTCGTTCCTCGGACTATACTGTCGTCGACGAGGCAAACGACCTTGCCTTTGAATTCCGAGGCAATGGGCGAGAGCTTCCGGCGTACACTCTTCTGGCGGGCCTTCTGGCCGGGGACCTACATCGCAGCGGAACGTTAGCATGGCGAGGCTGATAGATCCGCACCCCAGTGGCTGTTGACGCACAATAAATGTACGGTAAACGTATCTGTTCTTGACGAACGCGTTGGAAAGCGGCTTTCGTAGCTCCGTGGCGAGGCTGGCGGCAGCCGTGTTGCTTGTCTACATTGTGCGCAACTCTCATCAGTACAGGAATCACATGACGATTTGTGGCCCCTTAGCTGGCGCGAGGCATGCTCACTTCTGGAATGGGAATGACTGTCGAGGAACATGTTAGCCAAGGACAGGGATCGCAGAGACGCTGGCCATCGCAACGTCAATGGGAGGGGGGGCTAGGCGCGACGTACCAACATCAATCTCATCGATGCCCTTCTCTCCCATGACGCTCCTCATCCTGTCGGCAAGCTTCAGTCCCATGTTCTGGCGACTGCGGTGGACGGAAATGCCGTCCATGTCGACGTCTGCCCTGGACAGGTACAGGTATTCAAACAGGTCAGGCGTGTAGGACTTCATCTCAACAACTTGACAGAATTCGGGAACGCCGCCCTTCTTGATGAAGACAGCCTGGCCGGGCAGGATGTCGACAATGTTCTTGAACCCAAGCTGCGTCAAGGCGATCGATTCCGAGGCGAGGAAATAATCAGTGGCGCCATCAAGGGTCTCCGAAGGTCGCGATCCGAGGCACAGGGGTCGGATGCCGTTCTCGTCACTACACCGAGACCATGTCAGTCACCTGCGACGTGATGGAGAGCAGACAATGCAGAAGAATGCCGCCAAACGTACCGGAAGCCGAGAATGCCGAATCCTGCAATCATGGCAGTGCAGGCAAAGGCACCCTGGCACCTGGCGTAGACCTCGCGGAGGGCGGTGAAGACATCGGCCACGCTGGCGCGCGTCTTGCCGAGTTCATTGAGGGCATAGGCGAAGATGTTGAGTCTGAAGGCAGGACGTGTATCAGCAAGAGGCGGACTGCGTGTTTTCTCCCATGGGGATAGACCCACAGTAGTTCCGAGTCTGAGTCGGTGTTCACGTGGCGACGAGCCTCGTTGTCGAGGAACTTGACGAGCTCCGGCGCGTTGACGAGGTTGCCGTTGACGCTCATCGACAGACCGAAGGGGGAGTTGACAAAGAAGGGCTGCGCTTCGGACCTGTGGCAGAGAACGCTGTCAGTGGGAATTGTCCGGTCTGGGAGAGAGGCAGGAGGCCGAGGTCGGCGTGTGAGGGGAAGAGCGCAAGGGTCATACGTACGCAGATTGCGTGCCCGCCGTGGGATACCTCAGGTGGGAGATTCTGCCTGTGTCAGATCATCTGGCTCATCTCCAGGGGGGGCGGGGAGGGGGTGATCATGAGGCTGGCAAAGGTGAGGAAGCCATACCCCATGTAACCGGGCATCGTCGCCGTCGTCGCGCGCTTGCCCTCGTCAAACACTTTGCTGGCCATGCCTACGCCCTTGCATTGAGACACCCTTCCGCCCTGGCATACGGCGATACCAGCGGCATCTTGTCCGCGCTGTCGTCCATGTCAGTGAGTGCGCGACGCTGTCTGGGGAGAGGTGGTGAGACGGACATGTTGGAGGTAGTAGAGGGACTCGTGAAGGTCGGTGACGGCGGAGGTGGCTTCGGGGTCGCCCAGCTGGGATTGTAGTCAGCGTGGCGCTCTTGCGTCTCTCTGAGGTCGGCGCTTCTCAGTGCATGATATCTGCTGGCTGAGAGGATCTGCATAGTCTGGACAGCGCGGGGGGGGGAGGGTGGCACGCGCGCCCGCAGCGACATGGACATACCAAGATGGCGGAAATTCCACACATGGTTGGTGTGATGTGGTGACGGTCGGCCTGAGGAGGCGGTGTCGGACAGGAAGCGGTCGGTGGACAGGCTGGTGCGGCGCCTGGGCAGGGGAGATGGGCTGTATGGGCGTTCTCGTTGCTGGGCGTTTCGTTGATGCGCCGTAGATGGTTGCTCGGACTGTTTCTCGGAGAAAAGTCTCAGGGGGTAAGGGCGATAATTTTTTTTGACCCCTCCGCCAGTCGCAAGGTACTATGTACTGGGGGAACCCACGTGGTGGGGTCGTGGTGAAAGTGGGGTCCAGTATACATAAGATCCGTCTGCTGTCGAATCCCCCGACCCGTCTGATACTG